ATTTATGATCATGCTGATACGTTGTGTTCAGAGACCTTTAAATTATTTATTGGATGGACGCAACAACTTTTTTACCAGTATTTTGGTAAAACGAGAAAACAATAGTTGATAAATTGGTTCCTTTTGCCTTTTTCACACGAACAAAAAATTCCAGGACTAAATATGATTTCAATCCCAATAATAAAATTAAGAAAATTAAAAGGGCAACACTTCCGATTAAAATTTATATTTGGTAACTAATTGAAAGGTGAACGTTTTTGCGTAATCAAAAACAAGAGTGATGAGGGAGGTAATTATATGTGGTATTAGAACTAATGTATACGTTCCCTACCAACTACCCCCCCCCCCACACACACACGCACGCACACACACACCACGCACCTCATTTAACTTGTGCCGAAAAAATAATATGTGTTTACAATATAATAATAATAATTGACTCAAGTGTTTTCAGATGTTATGACTTCTGTAAAAATTTGGATCGTAATGTTATTAGGAAGTCAGAAAGTGTGTTCTGATAAAATTATCAAAACTAGTCCGTTGAAAACCAAGTTTACGTTTTTTGACGGTTATATAAAACAATTATCATTCAACATTTAAATTGCATTTAAAGCCAGTTGATAAATCAGGCAATGAGTGTGTTCCGGTAAACGACTGGTAGACTGGTGAAGTAACAAGTGGCATGTCAGCCAATCCACCGCTTTATTTTTTCATTTCCCCTTTCAGATAAAAAATTCAGTAGAGTGCCTACAATGGTCAATATTTTTTTTTAAAGTTTATATATTAACGTTTATGACTATTGTTACTTATACCATTTTTTCTTCTATTGTTTTGTTCTATCAATTAAAATGGTCTGGATAATTTATCAATTAAAACAAAACAAAAATACAATAAATTGAGAAAATTGATTGGTCTTTGAATTTAGTATGTATAGCTCTATTGTTTATATAACATTAAACTGTTTTTTTTCTAATCAAAACCTTTTTATCTATGAACAGAAATAAAATTTTTATTTAGGGGAAGGGTTTTTTTCCCTTCTTCTTTTATTCCAATGTTTTCCACTAGTTTATTTGGCAATTGACTTGGCAAATTTCTTCCTGATACAACACTTTCACTTCAAATGAGAACAACAATTTCGGAATTTAGTACCAAATCGGTCATAATTTATGTTTAAATCGCAGCCAAATTTAACATGACAGTTGCAAGAACTCGGTTTGACATTTGGTCCTGATAAGCCTCAATAAGCTTTGCTGCTCATAATCTATAAGAAGTAAAAATTAGCTTTGCTTAACTTTTTATGTTCGTTGACTTGTTTCTGTCCCGTGGGTAAGAAATTGGAAAATGTTGAAACAATTGTCCGCCCAACCCATTTTACTTGTTTGTTCTAAAACACTTATTTATCAATTTCATTTATCAGTTGAAATGTCCCTTGAATCAATTCTTACTACAGTAAAGTTAATATGGTTAAACTGAATAATGACAAGTTAATTCTTTGGTTTGCTTAAAAATGATTGAATAATTTATTTTGAGGAGTAAAGGGAAGGGTTAATAATATAATATTTTATAAGTTTTTTTTGCAAAGGTTTATTATGTAACAAAGTAAAAAGATTTTAAATGTTTGTTTCCCCAAATGTGTTTTGTACGAACAAATTTAACATTTAAGTGTCTGTAAATTTTAAAAAAACGTAAAAATTAACATGAACATTGATTGCAACATAAAACCATCTTTTTTCAAAATAGCATAAATCAAAAATCAAGTTTAGTTCAACCTTTTTTTGAAGATGGTAATGACCGCAACCCAAATGAAACACTGCATGAATTGATCTTAACTATCGACGGAACTAAATAGAAGGGGCAATGGCTATTTCGAGATTTTTCTTTTAATTTGTAAATTGCCCAAATTTAACAAAAAATAATTCAAAAAATTTGTAAAAACTTTTCGTTCAATTTCCGCAAATTACTTCCTCATACGAAAAGTTTAAACGGAAAACCACCCATATCTTTTTTTCTTACTGGATACATAGTTGGCGGAACCATATAGAAAGGGGTCCCCCGTGTATTAGATTTCCTATGTTAACGTATGCAAAATCGTTTTTAAATTTTGTAATTTAAGTTTTAAAAATTTTAAAAAAAAAAAATTTGCAAACGACGTGGGGGCCTCAGTAATTTTCCAATTTCAGTAAATAAATATATGTATCAAATGGGCCGAATTTTAAGTTATTTTGAAACTTTCAAATGAAGGTTCAATCGCGCAAAAGTAAGCATCAAAACAAAGAAGTCACCAAATGCAAAATTAAGTTTAACAAGGTTTGCAGAGGAAACATGCAAACACGGGCGGTTCCAATAATCAGTACTGTACCGTTTCAATGGCGTCCTTTTGTTTTCATCCAACTAGTCTGTCAAATATTTAAATTGTATTTAAAATAATTTTAGTATTTAAAATGCCAGGATCTTTACAAATACAAACCTTGTTAATAAATGTGCCTCCGCAATTCCATTATAAAAGTGCCCCCACTGACAAAAAGTAAAACAAAGCCCACTTTAACAGGTTTTAATTTTTAAAATATAAATGTTTCAATCACAAATAAAGAACAAAAAAAAAACCAAAAATTTTTCCTTGTCCGCTAACAATACAAAAAACTTCGAAAATGAGTGAACAATTTTCGAAGAATCTTTAATTCAAGTTCATTTACAAATCAATACTTATATTTTATTGTTTCTTGTGTAATTGACTGTGTGGTGGTGCCAAACCTTTGGGGAAGGTTAAAGTTTAATATTTATTTTTTCCTTTTTTTGCCAATTTTTTTTAAATTTTAGTTGCATACGTTTTAATTATAAACATGAAAGAAAAAGGTTAATTGTACAAATTTTTAAAGTAAATAAAAAGAAAATTAAAATTTTGATTGAAACGGCCCTTTTTACTTTTTTGTTTCAAATTTGTTTTTCAAATTTTGAAATTTTGAAATTTTGAAATGAAAAATATTTCAAGTTACAATGACCGCTTTAAATACTTATTTTGCAACTGAATGCCTTCTTCATAAATACAAAAACACTTCAAGGAACAAGGGTTTTAAATAAATGAAGTTTTAAGCTGACCATTGAAATAAAAAGAAAGAGACAAAAAGATTTATAAGGCTAAACTGAAAATAAACGAATGGTTTTGGGTGATTTATATATCATGTTGTTAATTGTTTGTCCCGTTAATCGTTTTGTTTTGTTATGTTTGTCGTTTAGGTTTCGTGTAAACTTTTAAAACTTTTCGTGGACCCCGGGAAGATGCTTTGGTAGTTTTAAGAAGCGGAAGGAAGTGGTCCTAAGTAAAACTGGTGGTAACCTCTCCAGGAAAACGATTTGGTTAGAAAAACTACTCCGCCTATATGATGGAAATTACTGTTGTTTTTTCAAAGTTTTCAAGTTTTATATAGTTCAGCATATAACAAAAAACAACATAGTTTGCAAAAATATTTCAATGTTATTAAATCTTCAAGTATAACTGAAAAACATCAATTATTAACATAAACATGTTCAATTTTCCTAAGTCCATTAGGGTAACAGAAAAAAAATAAACGGTGACAAATTTTCTTCTTGTTTTAAGCCCCTATAATTTAACCAAAAAAAATGAAATTTGCCATTTCACAGATACCAACAATGAACTTTGATTTCACTATACATATTCCTTTATTTACATTTAGAAATCTTTCCGAAATATTATATTTGACCAAGGTTTACACAACGCCCCCTGCTCTTCCATAACAGAGTCAAAGGCTTTTTTGAAAGTCAATAAAAGCACAAAAAAGTTTTTTGTTTTCTTATGTTTAGGTAATCCTGTTTAACATTGTGGAGAATAAAAATATTATCAACAGTTTGAATAATGCCTTTCCTAAAATCCAAGCTTTGGTTTTTGAAATTTAATACATTATAGAACTTTTCTAAATATTTTGTCAAACTTTCCATTTAGTAATACTTGTAAATATATTTCCCTATTACAACTAAAGCAAATGGTAATAGGTCTATAGTTTTCAGGCCATTTCAAATATTACTTTTATTTTTTATAGATTTGGTACAATACAATCAATGTCAACCAAAAAATCTTGGCAAAAACCAGTGTTTAGAATACAGTTAACATTTGTGAAATAAAGTGGTTTATAAAAGTTAAAGTACTGCTTCCCTTTATATATTCAGGAAACACTTACGGGTGTCGGGAAATATACTTTGAGTACATGCATAATTACAACTTAATTGAAATTGGGTTACAGAAGTGTAACTTAGAAATGAAGCACAATTTCAATGAATTTCAGAGAGAAAATCTTGAAATCCTCCTTGACAATCATTGTAAAAGTAAAAGTACAGTAAACGGAACGGATTTCATTCTAAATCGAACCTTTCCTAGAATTTTTTTATAAAATTAATATATCAGAATCAAATTTTCCAGTTCAGAGGTTTGTTTTACAATTTAACGGTTAAAATTATTATACACACAAGCCCCGCGGGCGTGGTTTTGCGCAACTTATTTTGTTAAGCGTCTGTAGGTGGCAAAGGATTATATCTTCTAACTTTTGTGATACACAAAATGGCCAGAGGATTAATTTAAATTGTTTTAAAATTCTGCAATTATCTTGTTAAACTTAATGTTTTTTCAAAGGCAGTTTTAATATACTAACAAATTTACTCTTGTTAAGTAATTACCACTTTGTAATTAATGATGCAAAAGGTTTACTTTTAATGGTTAAAATTTTTCTATTTGGCTTTTTTGGCAAAACTTTTTTTCATTGAAATGAGACTGTCGGAAATAGTGATCGAGAATTTTGGAAAATATCTGGAAAAAACTCGACTATCGTTTCTTGGGAGTTAGGACTTCTTACAATTTTTAACTGGAAAATAGATACTTCTATTTCAGCGGCTCAGTATGTAATCAAACGTTGCAGTTTAGGTAAAAATGCCTAAAAGAGCAGGAAAGTGAGTACAGTAACGAAGGTGGGGCAACATCTAGGTTGCGGTAGATGGGAAACTTCAATCCATACGGGAGAGTGGTAAATCGTGCTCCGCATACATCTTCGGAGAAGTTCGGAGCTTTTACTGGTGAGTTGATTTAGGTGATGTCTACGTTGTTGAATCCGTCAGTTTATACAACAGGCTGGACCTATTTGTTGCAGTGAGTGTCTTGAAGTATTTCTTTGTATTTTTCTTGCACTGTATCCTTCAAAATAAAATCGTCTTTTAACTATGAACCTTATTGAATGCTGTGGCTATAGACCATTGGTTTAAACATATCTATTTTTAAGCACGATTGCGAAACAAGTTCTTGCAGCTTAATATTAATCACTTTCTGAGTCCACTTGACTTCCTGGAAAACAACCAGTACTGGTGTCATATGAGAGATACATGGTCGTGACCCGAATTAAAGCTCGAGACCTCGAGCCAATGAAGATCCCTTGGGTTGAGAGGCAAACACCTTAACCACTAGGCCCACCGCTTCCCCTGACCACATAGGCCTACCGCCCCCTTGCCACTTTAGACATGTGACATGGATTTTGCTTTAGATAACTTCAATTTAATTATATTTGATGATATTTCATGTATGTGTAGAATACAGCACGTTTCATGTACATGTATGTATATTTTGATATCTGATATACGTTCTACTGGAAGCCGCAAAGATCACAATACAGATTGTATTGTCTTCCTTTTGTAACACAAGTATAAATTAAATGAAATAAAAGAAACTTTAAAAACAAAGTAAAATTACAAACGAACTAAAAAATGTTCTCCGTTAACGGTACGAAAATCATTAAAAAATAACTTGGGCGGTCATGAAAATTTAAAAAACAACAAACAAAGGTCTGCCTTTATTTAAGAAAAATGAACAAACAATAGGGCCTCTTTGCAATTTAAATCTCTGTGGGTCCGGCAATTTCTATCGACTGGGAAAGGAAATTTTGTTATTTTTGGGTAAAAAAATGACCGTTAATACATTTTAAAAGTTTGCCTTTGAAATTCTGTTAAAAGTAAAAAGCGCTGCCAAATACGCCAAACCTTTGAAACTTGTTGCCAATCTTTAAAGTCTGCTTTATACAACAATTGAAACAATTTAATATATTACCCCCGCCGAAAAAAGGCGGTGGGGGATATAGGAAATCAGTCTTCCTCCGTTCCGGTCAAAGGTCCTCCGTCCCCTGTTCAGTCCCCTTTTCCGTCCCCACATTTTGTCCCGGAGCAAATATCTCAAAAATGTTTTCAAGAGGTTATCAAACTTGAAAACTTATCAATGTAAGGTTGGACATAAGAACAAATTGCGGCAAAAAGGAAATGGCAAGTGCACAAGGGAATGAATAACTCGCCATGCATAATTTTTCAGTTTTTTTGCCCTTTGTATTTTGTTTGATTCCTTAACTTAATTTTATTCACCTGAAAAGTGGGGCATAAAACTTAAAAAGTCCCCCTTTGCAAGACTTATATCCCAAAAATGAAAACTTATTTCATGGGTGGGAATAGAATCTTATTGCGGGGGAATTGCTAATCGCAAAAAAATGATAAATCTACCCTTTTATAGTTTTTTGCTCGACTATTTTTTGGGAAAAGAATTTTAATTTGGAGCTAATTTCAGGTTCCACCCCAAATTTTTCGGCGGGCGGCCGGCGGCGGGCGGGGGGCGGGCCCCCCGGGGGGTTTTAAATTTTTTTTGTTTAAGGCCCGGTTTTCCTCCAAAAACTATGAAAGGGGAAAAGGATTGAAACTTCACCAAAAATTGTTTCTTTGGGGAATTTTTTAAAGAATGGGAATTTGGGAAAAAAAATCCCATAAACCCCTTTATTTTTCCTTTTTTTCCCAAATTTTTGCCCCCCTTTTTTTTAAAATTGAAATTCCCTTTGGGGTTTTTGGGTTTTTGGTATTTGTAAGCCCGGTAAACTCCATAAAATACTGGGAAAGGGGAAAGGATTGAAACTTCCAACCCCCAACCCAAACTTTGTTTTCTCTGGTTGATTTATCTAAGGATGATTGGGCAAAAAAGGTCCCAATAAACTCCCCTGGTTTTTGCTTTTTTTACAATAATTATGCCCCTTTTTTCCGAACTTGTTAATTCTTGGTTAAGTTTTTTTTGGTTATGTTAGCTGGTACAACTTATACTGAAGGGGAAAATTGGATTTGAAAATTCACACACTATTGTTTCTTTGTGAATTTATCTGTGATTATACTAAGATGATTTGCACAATGCTGGATCTCCATCAACTAAAACATTTTGAAAACTTCACACACTTGTTCTCTGTGATTATCTAAGATATTGGCACAAGTTCCATAACTATGGTTTTGCTTTTTAACATAATTATGCCCCTTTTTCGACTTAGAAATTCTTGGTAAAGTTTTACGTGTAAGCTGGTATCTCCATAACTACTTGAAGGGAATGGATTGAAACTTCCACACACTTGTTCTCTGTGATTATCTAAGATGATTGGCTCAAGGCCCATAACTCTGATATTTGCTTTTTTACATAATTATGCCCCTTTTTCCGACATAGAAATTTTTGGTTAAGTTTTGCGTGTTAAGCTTGCATCTCCATAACTACTGAAGGGAATGTATTGAAACTTGAAGGGTTTGTACCTTTTTGGACAATTTTATGTATTCATAAAGGTAAGCATTATTATACTCGATGAAACACCCTTGTGACAAATTTCCGAATAGTCGAGCGTTACTGTCCTCCGACAGTTCTTGTTAAGTTTTTGCCCTTTGTTATTTTTCATACTTTTTGTCCGGAACTTATCTCAAAAAGTGTTAGCGGTATCAACATGAAACTTCATACGTGGATAGATCTCAGTGAGGAGGGGTGCAACACACAAGAATGATAACCTACCCTGCATCATTTTTCAGTTATTGCCCTTTGTTATTTTTCATACTTAATTTTTGTCCAGAGCATAACTAAAAGGCCTTTGAGATATCAACATGAAACTTCATAGGTGGATAGATCTCACTCAGGAGGTGTGCAGTACACAAGAATGATAACTCTATCCGTAATAATTTTTGACCTATCGCTCTTTGTTATTTTTCATACTTATTTTTTCCTGAAAAACTCTATATAATAAGGGGCTCACAATAACCTTACCATTGACCTTGAGATCTGAAAATAAGAGAACTGGTATTCACATAGGTCTTAAATCTGTAATCACTTTAGGCTATTAAGCAGTGATGTTTGGCTGATTGCTGCTCACAAAAATCATTCAAAGGCATAAAATAGATATATAAAAGTGATAGTTTTAGGTTCAAAAGCAACAGTATGATACAGTGAATATGGAGTAAAATATGAAATTGATAGTTATTCATTTTCAGTAGATACTTTAGGATTTATAAGTTCCAAAATGGATTTTCTTTGTTTAATTGTTTGATTTTTTGATGAATATCAGTGATTTTGAGATTAACCCTAAACACCTATATTGGATTTAACAATTGGATAATTATAGAGTGGTTATTTATACAAACTTGATATTTATCCATAAATATGAGTGATAACAGTAAAAATCGGAGTACTATTAAAAACACAGAATAAAAAGGAACAATAAAAGGACCAGACAAAGGGTCAGACTAAATTAAAATTCCAAGGTGAAAAGCCAAGTCCTAAGCCCCCAGCAAAGAGATTTCAATTGATTATAGTAACATTACTGCTAGTAAAACGAATTCTGGAAATAAAAGTGTATTAACTAACACAACAATGGAGGACATTTGTAGTATACAAGTACAAGCACAATAAGTGACTCAAGGGGTGATCTCAAAAGTGTGTTGAAAAAATATGAAACAGAGGAATTAATTAAGAACATTATGTTATCTTTAGAACAAAAACTGATTGAAAAAAATTGATAGTGCTCCAAAGGATAGAACAAAGGTAGTGAATGAAAGATTAGACTCTCTTAAATTTGAAAATAATTTATTAAAAGATAGACAGCTATTGGTAGAATAACTGTGGTAAAACTACTGTTACTTCCTTCATTAACTAACTTGTTTAAGTCACTGCCAAATCCTAATTCTCAGATGTTAAAGGAAATGAATAATATGTTTTATAATTTTGTGTGGCAAGGCTCGCCAACGAATAGGTGAATGAATATGTAAATGGTGGTCTAAAAATGATTGATGTATGTGCCTACATGAAAAGTTTAAAACTTTCATGGTTAAAAAGAATTGTATCATCTGAATGTGATAAATGTTACACTATTTTAAAGAACTTTATAGATATTATGAAGCTGTTTAATTGTGGAAATTATATACAGAATATATATAATAGTTTGAACAATTCATTTTAGAAAGATGTTTACGGTGCTTATATAGAATTTGTAGAGAAATTACCCATTATTTCTATGGAAATGTTGTTAGAAATGCCTCTGTTCTATAACCAAAATATTTGATGGATAGAAAACCAATTTTCATAAAAGCATGGTATGATAAAGGTATAAGGTTTATCAAAGATATTATGAATGTGAATGGTATTTTCCTTGAAAGGAATGAATTGGAAGCAAGATCGGGTATTAACATAATTTTTTTACTATGAATTAATTACCAGTGTTGTCAAGAAATACATAAGTATATTAAGTTTAAAGTTATGTGATAATTATGAAATCGCTTCCTATTCTCCCATTACATGATGTTATATAAAGCCTATACTATTTTGAGTTAAAGGTACATCAGACATGTATAATATCTACATAAAAAAGATGATATTCCAACATGTCAGACTAAATGGAATACTTGCTTTCAAATAAGTCAATATGACTGGAATTAAGTACATAGCTGTTTTTTTTTTAAAAATTACCAATGATTCTTACTTGCAATGGTTTCAGACAAGACTAACACATAGAATATTAGCTACTGACTATCTCCTTTTGAAAATGAATTTGTCAGATACAAGTATGTGTACTGGGAAACGGACAAAAGCCCTCCCGGACAAAAGCCCTCACATCAAAAAATGAAAGGCGGACAAAAGCCCTCCCGTGAAAATGACAGGGCGGACAAAAGCCCTCCCGTGAAAATAACAGGGCGGACGAAAGCCCTCCCATGAAAATGACTGGGCGAACAAAAGCCCTCCCGTGAAATTAACAAGG